GAGAAAATTGAATACGACAAAGAAAAAGTTTTATTAGCTCTAGTTTCTGTGATATACAATAGGTGATTTTAACAGCATAAGAGAAAACAATACATTTTAATTACATATGCTAAAAATATTGAAAGTGCTTTTGAATTTTTTAAAATTCAAAAGCACTTTCAATTCTAAGAGTTCTAAATTAATAGAAGAATACCTGGCAGGTGGTTCGGTGTGAAGAGAATCATGTGGTGGCTTCATGAGATCATTTTCTTTCAGCTTGCCTCTTGTGAGTAAGTTCTGGTGCATCCCTACACACAGACCAGCAGTAATCCGCAAGCATTTTCATTCTAATGGCCCTGATATCTTTGTTCCAATATGGAAATATCCCAGTGGAATCTTTCCCCATGTTCATCACTGACAGCTCCACAACTAGGAGGGAAAAAGTCTAAGTGGGAATGGAGAAAATCCATTTTGGATTTTGAGGGACATGTTTCATCTGAGTTGATGATATTTTTCCAAAAGTATTGTCACCAACTGAGTGTAGTTATTGTCTCTTTTGTTGCCTAAGAATCCACAAATAACTCCCTTTAAGGCTTCCAAAGCTTCCTTTTCTTTTCCCTCCAAAACTTGGTCAAACGCTGGATCCTTTACAAGTTTTGGAATTTATGGCCCAACAAAAATACCTTCCTTAACCTTTGCATCACTCAATCTAGGAAATTTGTCTCTTAAGTAATTAAATGCCTGTCCTTTCTGGTTCATACCTTTGACAAGAGTTTTCATTAAACCCAGCTTGATATGAAGGGGTGGAAGAAAAACATCTCTTGGGTCCATGAGAGGCTTGGCAACGATATTTCTCTCAGCAGGGTCATGATTTCTTGCAGGCCAGTCCACTTGAATGTAATGTGATTTCCTATCCCTACTGTCCCATATACATAAAAAGCAACATTATTTAGTATACTCCAGTTGCATTCCTAAGAGTACAGCGATGACTTTTAGATTGCAACATATTTTCCACTTGTCATCAGCATAATTGATTGAGTCAAGGAGGGCTGTCATGTTTGCATAGATATATATTCTATAATAGAGTATAGTTTTATTATATGCTGATCTGAGGAGTTTTACAGGAAAAATGCCAATGAAAATTTGAAATAATTGAAGATGCACTATTTTGTAATGAAACATTTTTTTTTACAAATTTTACTATAAAACTTTTCTCATATATTTTGTATTATTTAGATTTTGTCAATCATTTTAAATTATAATTTAAAATGAATAAAAGTTTCAAATCTTTTGCGGACCATATTTTAGCTCTTGCGGACCACTGGTTGGAAATCGTTGCTCCAAAGCAAGAGCTAATCGGTCATTTTTATAGTGATTTTGAATTCAGCAGATGAAAATACATAAGAATATGCTAATTTTGAGCCTGAAACAAAATCATTGTTGTACAGTGTTATTGCTGTAAAGATGTGATTTTTACAATCCCTAATCACAACTATTCTAACAATCTGCCATGTAAACAAGTTTTTTTCATCAAGAAATTTCACTGTTTCTCACTCAATTCCAGTTTCTCAATTCAATTGATAGAAATATTAAGTTGTTCAGAAAGTAAGTTCATTTTTTTTTTTACCACTAGACGGATTAGTCGTATTTTCCCGCTATTTTCATTCTAAACCGTATTATCATTATATATTTTGACAGCTAGCATTTTAAGGCTTAATTGCAAAAAATTTTGTTTGACTTTGTGCAATTATTTATTTTTTGTGTCCCATCAAATATGGAAGATCGAAAGCAGCATTTTCGGCATACTTTGCTCTTTTATTACCAAAAAGGTAAGAATGCTGTTCAAGCGAGAAAAAAAATTGTGTGACGTGTATGGAGAAGATGTATGAACAGAAAGNTTAACTCTTACATATTAAATATTTATTTTACATCTTTGTTAAGTATCTGTATAAGTGCATGTTTATGCATAAGTAAACTGTATGTGAGCCGCTCATTTGCCAAAACGATAAGTTCATAAAAGAAAAGGTAGAAAATATGTATTGATAAATTTTTATACATTTCTTGTGTAAAAAACATTTCTTATTCAACGGCCGTAAAAATTATTTTTATTAATGATGTCTCCAAAGTTTAGCGAATTTTTCGCAGAAAAATAACTTATCAGAAAACTTTCGTCATTACTTAAGCTTGTTTTCGTCGCGGGGCGGCGCTCCGCGACGAAAACAAGCTTAAACAATGACGTCGTTGAACGGTACACACTCGGTAAGTAATCCTACAATTTCTTATCTATAGCATAGTTTATACGGATTATTCCCAAAAAATTATACGGTGCTTTGGAAATGTTGAGTCAAATTAGTCTAGAATCGATTAATTTTATGGAAGAAACCTTTCAAACAGCCGTAGTCCCTAAACTGCACACGTGCCGGGCTGTGATTGGCTCATGTATTTAAGTGACTCGTACAACACGGAAATCACATAACACGGAACGTATCTACCGTGTTATAGGGGGATCGACTGTATGTGATAAATGATTATATCAAATGTGGATAACAATGAAATGACCTACATGTGTAAATAACGAAAAAATAACAGAGAAGGACCGCGAAGTGAAAATGTGAAAATAAATACAAAATTGAGTTGATTACATAATCGAACAAGTCGAGGCAGGTTATTGGCGCGAAATTCGATGCCGTCAATGCTGTGACAATGCCGAAGGGCCCCCTCTATGCTTCGGCACCACAGGACCGAAGGATCGACATCGCGTCGGCAAAGACTGCAATGACTAATTTAGTCTGCAGAACTGACACCACCATGTCTTCTGTGTAGACATAGAGACCATTATGTTCACCTTTACGCGCGAGCAGTCGCGTCTGTAGGCGGTTGGACTCAGGATGGAGACCAATTGGGCTAAAGAAGTGCACTTTACAATTCGATTATAGAAAATAATACCCGTTTATTGATTATATAAGTCTAAGCTAGTTACGCATATGCTTTAAGAGAGAGAGAGTTTACAATTGTTCGCGTGGTATTTACCTGAAGATCGCTCTCTTGATTTGAGTCCTTTTTCGGTGGAGACACGTCCTTAGTGGGTACTTGGACTCATCGGCTATCGGCGGTTAAGCTTCTGATCGCTGGCTATTGGAGAAACATCGGCGGCGAGGTGTATCCGAGTGTACACACACGACCAACCTTCGAGGACGGACGAACTCTCCTGTCGGGCGAACTCTTCCATCGGGCGAACTCTGTCGCGTCATCGGACCTTCTCCTTTATTTGGGGGTCCTCCCTCTCGCAATTCTTGTCGTTTTTTGGTAAAATCGTTTTTCACGTCCAATGACGATTTTCGCATTTGATTCCGTGGGAAAGGATATATAATCATATCCATAGCGACCCTTTTTCTTTCCGAACAAAATTTTTGAATAAAATTTTCCATTCAAGTCCGGCCTCTCACAATGCCAAACAATTGTTGTCCCAGACTTCGGAAAGCTAAATGCTTGTAATGAAAGTCACTTAGCGTGCAGGGGCGAAAGCCTGGGGCCGTTCGGCCTACCAAGCTGTCTCGAATCTGTGAAATCATAACTGTAACTTATACCGACGTTCTATCTGTCTCTTTTCTCCGTTATCGACAGGCTGTCACGTAATTGTAAAATGGGAACTCTACGACAGAAAAGAGACAAATCGAAAGTATCGTGAGCGCGTATTATGATGTATGTATAGGCACACGTGGACTAGAACAATAGAGGAAAGAGAAAGGGAAGAGCAATGACGAGCGCTTAAAAAGAAGGATAGGCAGCGTCAGACCCTCAAATGTACGACGATTCTCGAACCAATAGTTGTGTACTGTACGTGTGCTGATCTTTGTGAATACATGTGACTAATATTATTTTCTTTTTTATTTTGTGCATGTTATAAGTTATAAATAAATATAAACAAACAACACTAAACCGATAACATTACATCTAAATACCAAAATGATTAATTTACTGTGTTTTTGTTATTTCTTACTCCTGTTTTTAGGTATTCGGTATTCGGCCGAATAGCGAAAAATAGGCTGAATAGCGAATAGTAACCGAATATTCGTTACATCACTAGTTACGAATATACGTTTTTAATGTGATTTCCTGGAATTTCCTAAAATTGTTTCCTTCTGGAATGAGAACTCCTGGAATCAACTCCTTGGAATTTGACAAACTTAATTGAAACTAAAGACAGACCGAGAAAATTTATGATGGTTGTTATGTTTTTCATATGATTTTAGTTGTATATAATCATCCAGCGATCCTATAAGCTGTTCTATTAATTAATTAAGGGCATTTGTGTCCCATTACAGAGTTTATGGCGGCGAAACTTTAGCTGGAACTACTTTGTCTAGAGCCGGCCCTACCATAGGGCGAACGGAGCAGCCGCTCCAGGCGCTAAGTCCTAGGGGTCGCCTCAGTGGTAAAGAAAATTAAAGGGTATAAATTAGGGGCAACCAAGGGGAGCGCCATAATAGGATCTCGCTCCATCCTAAAACTTGCCTCAGGCCGGTACTGACTTTGTCTACATATTTACGGAATATTTCTTAATGTCTCTTTCTTTATAAATGTCGAAAATTAGAAAAACATCGAGTTTTTCCAGTTTTTTTTTAAACTTTTTCCGCCCTGTGTACATTAAGAGGACCTCTTTAAGTAAGCCCATTATGGATTCGGCCAGAATCACAATGGGGCGGCCTGGTGGTGAGGGATAGGGCCCTACATATCCGAACAGACCACTCCAAAAAACTCCTGGAAATTGATCGACTCGCCCGGATTCAAACACAGCGGTCAACTGCTACCTTCACCACTCCGCCATCCGCCCGTCGAGTTTTTCCTGTCAGTAAAATTCCATATTATTAAAAAAAATATTAAAAATAAATTAATAACCATAAAATATAAAAATTATTTTATAATATACATTTTAAAATATTTAAATTCAAAAGAATTTTAATCTACTTTAGCAGAAGAAGAAAAAAAAAGAAAAAAAAATCGTTTGGCTATTAATCCAGATAATTTCGGTAATCCGGCATAAACTGTTGTGTCTTCGTCGCCATTAGAGATTTGATCTCAAAATAAAATGGTGTCCTGTTTTGAGTTATTCGATTGTGTTAAGGTATGCATGTTTTCGAAGTGGAGTTAATGAGCCAGTCAATGCCTTTGTTAAGTAATCATTTGTTGAGTTGTAATGTTTAAGTGTGCTTCAAAATGCAGTTGCTGTCTGGGCTATGGTTGCCCTTTAACTTAAAAGGTAAAGGTCAGAAGGATTTTATATTTGTTAACATTTCATTAAAACTCTAGTAAAATTGCGTGTTTAGTGTGTACGATTTCGAAATAACTACGTAGTTCTGTAGGTAAAGTATTTCAGGTAAATTTATCCATGTTAAATATGCCTTAATGCCCTAGATTTAACAAGCTTTGTGGAAAAATAATGGAGTTTTATCATTTATACATTCTTAAATATGATTAGCAATCAAATGATGTATTGTTGCCTCTGTTGATTCATAATAAGTTAAAATACAGGAAGCTTCTCCTATTGGTTGGCTAATTGCATTTTTTTCTTTTTTTTTATATATATGTGAATGAAATAAGGCTATTGAATAACAAATAGGGATTTATATTAAATATAATGGAACATTAATATTATAACTGCAATCAAATTTATGTTTAAAGGTCTGAGTTTTAGTATTTAATTAAATTTAAATGTAACCATTAAAATTTAATTTGTGGAAATATCGGAGTTGTGTGTGCTTATAATAATAAATTTAATTTAAAAAAGAAAGAAAATATAGATTAACTACTTATTAAATTTTAAGTGTGAATAAATATGTATAATTCTAAAATAATTATAAAATGTTACATGATTTTAGAAGGGATGTTATCAAAGTGTAATGTTTATTGTTTTTTGATGCAAGGTTTTCAATGTAGATCCCTGCCANGAAAGAAAATATAGATTAACTACTTATTAAATTTTAAGTGTGAATAAATATGTATAATTCTAAAATAATTATAAAATGTTACATGATTTTAGAAGGGATGTTATCAAAGTGTAATGTTTATTGTTTTTTGATGCAAGGTTTTCAATGTAGATCCCTGCCAGGAATACTAATATATTGGTCACAAGGTCTCACTGCCACTTAATTTAGAATGAACTGCTGCCAATAACAAAGTAAAATGTGATCATTTAAATTCTTCCAGAATAAAGTACAAATCAAAAGCTATTAACATTTTATAAAAAGTGTCTCGTGTAACAACGGTGAATTCAGATTTATTTTTAACAATTCTGATTCATCTTTTATAAAATTATAAATAAAACAATTATTTAAGAAATTGTCAACTTTACATATGAAGTTTTTAATTATTTTATTAATAATGATTTAGTTATTAATGAAAAATAATAAAGAATGTATATAATGTTAAAGAAAATGATACAAATAAATAAAGTTTGCATATTTTTAAACAAAGTTAAAATAGAAACATACTATAAATGTCAATGAAACTGTATAGCACAATTTCTTTATTATAATAACAATAATCTTGAATGAACATTATAATTATGTTCATGTACTGAACTTCTGAAACTTACTTCTCACTCATGAATATCACAGATAATAATCTATGATATTCATGAGTGAGAAGTAAAATATAATTATATAGAGTCTTAAATTAATTAATTAAAATATCTATAACCATAAGGTAGATAATAGGAAGGGCTTATCACACCAAATGACAATGGGCACAAACGCTCAAAAATCAAAGTAAAAAAATTTAATAAAACAAATAGGGTTGTACTGTACAATAAGATGATTACATAAGTATAAAAACCGTAAAAATCCAAAATGCATTTCGGACTATTTTCCAATGGAAAAATAGTCCCTCATCAGTTGGTAATAGCGACAGGTCTTAGTATACTTAAAATTATACAAGGTGAAAATTATTAAATTTAAAATTAAACTAAAAAATATGCCTAAAGCTATACAATATAAAGATGAAACCGACGCCNTAGGCATATTTTTTAGTTTAATTTTAAATTTAATAATTTTCACCTTGTATAATTTTAAGTATACTAAGACCTGTCGCTATTACCAACTGATGAGGGACTATTTTTCCATTGGAAAATAGTCCGAAATGCATTTTGGATTTTTACGGTTTTTATACTTATGTAATCATCTTATTGTACAGTACAACCCTATTTGTTTTATTAAATTTTTTTACTTTGATTTTTGAGCGTTTGTGCCCATTGTCATTTGGTGTGATAAGCCCTTCCTATTATCTACCTTATGGTTATAGATATTTTAATTAATTAATTTAATTATACTAAGGGCTAAAAGCAATTTCTGCAATATAGAGTCTATTGTTAAACAGAACTTTTAATAATTTTTTAATGAAGAATAATTAATACAGAGAGAACTGTGTTAATTATTCTTCATTTAAGCATATGTGCAGTTCTGAAATTTTGAACATTTGTCTTTTGGACAATTTACTCCTTCTTACATAATACAGCTCCATCCTGTTATCTGAATATAATATGTTCCTAAAAACAGCTTAGATATTGGGAAATTTTTCCATGACTATTGGGGAAAAGTTTCAACTTGTTTTCAGTCCATGAATAAATGCAACAATTTCCTCAGATGACACTAAAAGACTGCAAAACACCTATTTATTTATTAATGTTGGTATTCCTCTGCTTTACAAAAGTTTTCTTTATGCCATTTTGCTTTTACAAAAGATCTACATTAGTACAGTGGTACCTCAGGATAGGAATGCCTCAGCATACGAAATTTTCAGGATACGACATGAAATTCGAACATATTTTAGCTCCACGATACGAACAAAAACTCACATACGACGTTACATTAGTTCGCAGCGTCATTTTTTATTCACTTCTGTTCGTTGGTCTCAGTCTGTGTGTTTGCTTCATTGTGGAAGGATCTCACTTGATAAAGGAAATCTTGAGGTATTATCAGAATGTGACTGATTTTATTGAAAAGAAACATCCCGAAAAGGTTCACACTGGCCGTATTGCTGCTCAGAGTAATGACATTTACCTAAGTTATTTTAGAAACATTTTAAAAAGTAGGCAAAGCCAAACCTCTTTGGATAGATATTTTACCAAGCAATTTCTATCCAGTGAAAGTGCTGGTGGAAGTGAAGGAAAGACGGCAAAAGGCAGTGAATAAAAAATTTTTAAAAAATATATAAAACAGAAAAGTTAAAAAATTAGAGTTAATGTAACAATAACTTAAAAATAACTTATGTTATGTAAGTTAAGTTTTAGTATTATTTCACTTCTCCCTCTTTTCTGCCACCAGTTTATACCTCCACCGTCGTCTATCCTCAAAGGTAAAGTGCAAATAAAACTACATTTTTTTTTTTATCAAATATAAAACAGAAAAGTTAAAAAATTAGTGTTAATGTAACAATAACTTAAAAATAACTTATGTTATATAAGTTAAATTTTAGTATTATTTCACTTCTCCCTCTCTTCCGCCACCAGTTTACACCTCCATCGTCGTCTATCCTCAAAGGTAAAGTGCAAATAAAACTACATTTTTTTTTTTATCAATTATTATTCTATTATGGCTATTTATACATTTACAACTACAAAATGCATTTTTCAGTGTTTTCCTTACTATAGTTATTTTTTTTTAATGTACTACTTAGCTTTAATTTGAGTGTGTTTTTCATGTTGGAACAAATTATTTGGTTTTACTTGTAATTGTATGGGGAAAAATGATTCACCTTATGACATTTTCATGATACAATCTCAGTTTCGGAACAGATTCATTTCGTATCCTGAGGTACCACTGTACCTAGTTTTTTTGCTATCCAACAGAAATCTAAAGAGAATTTTCATTTTTACAGAAAAAGGCAAAGAGCAAAGATATTGTTTAGTGTTTGTTTTGCACAAAACAGTTTTAGAGGCATTATGCAATCCAGCAGTCATCTCCATGCTCCTTCCCTGAGAAATACATTCAGCATCAAACTGCTTTAGCTTTGAACTTTCTGCGTGAGCATCTGTGCTTTATGTTAATTTATTTTGTGTATCTGTTAGCAAAATTAAAATGATAAAATGGAAAGTCTGTTGCTTTAATGGCTTGATGGATATAGAAATCATGGCATTCTGTTATCTTAAGAAGAAATCATCCAGTCTTTTCAATAAACTGAAATAGAAAGAATGGATGCTGATAGTGATGAAAGTATTTGGAAAATGAAATTTAAATAATAGTCATGGATGGTTTGATTGGTTTTTGAGATGATGGCAGTTTCATAACTTGAAAGGATACTTTCTGTAGAGAGCACTTCTGGTGTAGTTTCACTAACTATACTGTATTTACATTTCTAATTTATATAGGTTGTGTATTTATCACATTTTTCCTTCTTTTATTTTGTATTAGTATTATTTTAGGTTGTGTGTGTTGTTTGTTATGATTTAGTAAGTTAATTTTGAGTCTGAAAATGCTAAAAAAATTTTTCACATAAATGAATGGTAATTGTTTCTTTGCTTTTTGCTGTTTGGCTTATGAAAGATTTCATTAGAAAACAGTATTTTTGGATAGCAGGGGAAACCTGTACTGTATGTGATTTTAGCATACTATTAAATTTTACAAATGTCAATTATCTTAAGAAATAATGAGGTCATTAAAAGATTGATTGTAAGTGTGAGGTCAGCTGATTAGGGATGAGGTGTTTTCGACAGCCAAGCGGTCATTACCATCATGTGGACATGGAATGACTCACCGAGACAGGTTTACCATATAACCATTTAATAATATACAGAAATCGTTCTTACAATAATCCAATAAGTCGGGCAAAAGCCTATCCAACGATGGGTTACCGTAACCGTTCCCAGCAAACGGAAAAGTTCGAATGTTCGATCGCTCCTTGGGGGCTTTTCGGCACGGTGGACACAGAGAACGATGGCCCTGGGGCACGCACCAGCATTTGTAGTGATGTCCTCGGTTGACAAGTCGAACCTCGGCGATTCTGGACGAGACCTCGGCAACTCTGGACGCGATGGGTTGGCGAAACCAGCTTCCAGGACGTCGAAAGAGTCTACGTTGTATCTCTGTTGTGAGCACCGAGTTTCAGCAGGTGAGCACTACGCACCAAAACCCAAGACCCTGTAAAGTTCCCGAAAACGCGGTTTTATCGATTTTTCCACCGCGGTCGCCTCTCCATTGATCTCTCCTCGTCACATGGTGACAATTCGAAACTTACCGAAGGGCGTGGGAGAGGTCAACATTGCAT